CCACAGTATGGCAAAGCAATTCCATCATTTTCACATTTATTTAGCCTGACATATCTCTGGGTCCATATTTCACTTGACCCACCAAGCAAACTTTAGAGTCACTCCTGGCCCTTTGAGCTAAAACACTAAATTTGCAGTGCACTTAATGGACTCTGCTGTGGACTAAATGTGTCACCACCACGTCCTTCCTCAAATTCATATGTTGAATCCTAACCCCCAATATAATGTATTAGGAGGTGTGGCATTGAGAGGTAATTAGGTCACTAGGGTGGAGCCCTTTAAATGAATTTAATGCCCCAATGAAAAGGCACAAAGGAGCTTTTATTCTTTCTCTCTGCTCTCTTGCCATGTGAGGATAAAATGAAAAGATGGTCATCTGCAAACCAGGAAACATACCCTCACCAGATACCGAACCTACTGGCTGGCATCTTGGTCTTGGATTTCCCAGCCTCCAGAGCGATGAGAAATAAATTTTTGTTGTTTAAGCTCCCATTTGAATGGGTATTTTTGTTATAGCAGCCCAAACTAACGCAGATGCATAACAGTCAATTCAGTCTGATCTACCTTTACTGTTTTTCCACTTTGATCCCACACCCTTGAAATCCACATGTATTCCTCTGATTTCTGTCCATATAACTTGGGAAAATCTTGCCAATCTTTCAGTATGTATCATACTTCATCACAAAGTCATGCTTTACACCTAACCCTTCAGGGCTGGCCAGAACTTGAGCCTAGTTACAAATCAAGAAGCAAGGAGAGGTGGTGGGATAGATAACGGGGAGGGCCAGCAGAGCCCTATGAGAAAACTACACAGGTTCCCAAGGCCAAGGACAGCTGAGCTCCCCAGGCAGGGGTGGGAGAGCTGCTTCTACTGGAGAACAAAGCTTGGTGGAACTTTGGGATCTAATGTCCCTGACTGCGCTGGAATCTGTTCATCTTTCCCCAGAGTTTAACAGAAGAAACCCTGTAGGATTGAGAATTTAGCTTTCACTGTAGTTCTGCCACCTACAGGAATAAACCTCAGGTTTGGTTTAAAGAAATCTTGGCTCTGCAGATAAAAGACAAAAGGTTGATTTCAGGACAGTCCTAGAAACTTTGTACTGAGACATTAAGCAGTGGTACTAATGCCCATTCCACTCTTATTCCATGCCTAGGGTTCACTTAGCAGTCCTGTCATGTGATATAGATGATTGGCAGGGCCAAGAGTTGGCATTCCTATTTCCTCAAAACCCCTTTTACTTCTAACAAAAGTGTGCTTTCATGGGCAATTCTCAGCATAAAGGCAAACAATTTATGAAAATAGTGAACCTGAAGCCTATGGGTGGTGAATCACAGGTGGCGTCTCAGAGGAGATGCCGCTCACATGCTTGCAGCATTTCTACTTGTGAATTTTCTCAACAATTATATTATTTGAATTACCCACAAAACTCCACTAAGATTGAGTTTCCCTGGGTTAAAAAAGTTGACGTGTAGGCATACTCAGTAACTTACTTAAGATTATACAGATACTAAATCCAGGTCCCCTATTTTCAAGTATATATAATGCTTTTAAGAAAAAGCTATAATATGCAAGAAATGCAGCTATTTTTTTTATATGTGAGTTTAGCTTCTGCTATAGTTTAGATGTTTGTTCCCCAAAATCTCATGAAACTTGATCCTCAGTGTTGGCATTGGGGCCTAATGGGAGGTGTTTGGGTCATGGGGGTGAATGCTTCATGAATAGATGAATGCCCTCCCTTAGGGGTGAGTGAGTTCTCACTCTATTAGTTCCTGCAGAGCCTGGCACCTACCTACTCTCTCGCTTCTGCTCTATGTGATCTCTGCACCCAGCTCCCTTTCACTTTCTACTATGAGAAGAAGACCTCACCAGAGGCAGATGCCCAATTGTGACTTTCTAATCATCAGAATCATGAACCAAATAACCTTTTCCTGTACAAATTACCCAGCCTCATGTATTTCTGTATGGCAACACTAAGCAGACTAAGACAGCCTTCTATTTGTCCTGATATTAGAACATGTAATCCAGACACATTCAGTCACCGAAAGTTTTTTTCAGCCAGACATAAACTCTGTCAATTCAGAACTTCTCTCTCTGGCCCTTTTCCTCCTGCTTCCCTGGTTGTAACTCTGGATGGCTTCCACGGCATGTAGGCTGAGGGAGGGCTAGGGAGGGGCTGATCCACAGCTACCCTTAGTCCATGCTGGTGTCCACTGCAATGCCCAGACCTGCTCATTACTCATAGTGAAACCCTCTGAGTCCTCTGAGGCCCCATTAGGACTTAGCCTGTACAGTCCCCACTGCGATCCCCTCCACTGTCCTTTGGGATGCTAGAGACTCTGCCATACCCCTCATCTCTTCTCACACTCATCACACTCTTGGGTACACAAGAATACCTTTAGGACTGTCCCAGCTTCCTCTCTTTGTCACATCCCAAATAGCCTTCATTACTTCAAGGGAGTCAATTCTGTGTTCTATACAATGGTGGTATTAAAGTAAGCCTACAAATTCTTTCATATTCCTCCCATTAAAGACAGAGACTAATTATTTCCCCCTTTTATATAGGCCATTCTTAAGGACTCAATTCTGAATGAGTGGCAGAAGCAGATATGACGCTGCGTGCCCCCGAAAGCTGGGTCATGGAAGAGGATATAGCTTCCACTCAGTTCTTGGTCTGTCTAGATATGCTGCCTTGGAGCCAGGAGTCACTGTATGAAGAGTCCAGCTACTCAGGAGCCACCAGACTGGTGAAACCACTTGGAGAGAACCCAGGGAGACAGAGAAGCTGAGGATACCCAGCTCTCCAGCACCCAGCTGTTGAGTCTTCCCATCCCAGGCTTCAGATGTGTGAGAGAAGACACATCTGGGATGCCAGGGCTCTACTCATCATGTGAGAGAAACCTCATGCAAGGCTCTGAGCCAGATCTACCCAACTGAACTGCTCCCAAATTCCTGATCTACAAAACACAGATATTCTATAGGGTGATTGTTTTAAGTGACTATATCTGCAGTGCAAGTATACATAATCCTTTCTGGAGTCTACTGCTATAGAACTGTTTTGGTTTAGAGAATGCAGAAGGATTAGGAAACTAAGGTGGGTAGCTCATGCAAGGTCATAAAGCTAATGGGATTTGAGCATGCTTGCTGGGCCACATTGCACATTACACTCCCTCTCTAGCACATCTGACCATCAGCCTTGTCCAGAGCCACCATTCTCCTGAAAGATATGCCCATATATAAATTTTGAAAGTAAGCAAATATTTTCCTCTGCAAAATTGAGTTAAAAAAGAAAATAAGGAACATGGCGCTGCGAGCGGCACGGAGCTTGCGGGCAGTGCTCTGCACCCTGCGCGCAGTCGCGTCCTGCCCACCAAGGCCCTGGCAGCTGGGGGGTGGGCGCCGTCCGGAAGCTGCACATGGGACCCACTCTGCTTTCAGTGCGTAAATTCACAGAGAAACATGAATGGATAACAACAGAGAATGAGATTGGAACAGTGGGAATCAGCAATTTTGCACAGGAAGCATTGGGAGATGTTGTTTACTGTAGTCGGCCTGAAGTTGGGACAAAATTAAATAAACAAGATGAATTTGGTGCTTTGGAAAGTGTGAAAGCTGCTAGTGAACTTTATTCTCCTTTATCAGGAGAAGTCACTGAAATTAATGAAGCTCTTGCATAAAATCCAGGTCTTGTAAACAAATCTTGTTATGAAGATGGTTGGCTGATCAGGATGACACTTCAGAACTAGATGAATTTAAGAGTGAAGAAGTGTATGAAATACATAAAATCTATTGAGGAGTGAACATGGAACCGCTAAATAAACCAGTATGATTTAACGCAACCCAGCAGAGTTGTGTTAAATTAGTGGTGGGTAGAAGACTTAGAATAGCAACTTTTAGCATTACCGATGGGGAAAAAAACTACTGTTCACCCTGCTAATGAAAGCAATGACCTTTAACTTTCTACTGATTATACATACACATAATACATGTCTTTTTCACAATATCCTATGATTTTTAGACTAGGCTTTAGTATTCAGAATTCATGAAATTATCCTTGTTAAAAACTAGTTATAAAAACTACATAATTCAGAGATAATGTTGTTATTCTTAATCTTTTTTTTTTTTTGGACCATAGGAACGTGTTCTATTTAGCAAGTGATTTGTTTTATTCTTTAGCCACAATTCTTCCACATTTTTACATTATCGCAATTTTTCCATATTTTTTAAACGTGAGATACACAATTTGTTAGAAGTTAAAAGGGAAAAACCTTCTTTTTGCTGAATAATATCACATTATGTTTAATTTAAAGATTATTAACTTTTTGAATATGAAAAATCGAAGCTGCTGGGAATCACATTTATTTGTAGGTCACAAAATAGCCCTGAGGTCTGAATAGGAAAATATCTTTTATAAACTCGAACAAAACTCTCACCTCAAAATAAAACACTATGAAATTTACAAAATCGTATCTGTACTCGGTATCTTTACAATATCCAGAAACCTACTGGACTTTTAGAAATGACAATGCAAATAGGTTTACATTCAGAAGAGAGCTTATACTACGAGGACCTAACTTGAAACTGGCACCCTGTGCAGGAATCTGTTCGATCCTTAGAATGGTCATAAAGTCATCTTTGTTAAAAACACAGGTCCTTGGACATCCCTAAATGCCCAGCAGAACGAAGAGAATTCCAGCACATTGGCTTTTCCTGTTCATCTGAAGGGGTATAATTGCTGGTCATATTTCTGGGCCTGTCATCACCTTTTGCAGTTTTCATCGGATGCATCCATAGCTGTGCAGTTCTAAACCAGCTTCTAGAACTTTTGCTTAAAAATTGGTGTTAAGGTGCCTTCACACCTATCTCCCAAAACTTCATAAAGCATCAGGCCAATGTGGACCATTGCTTTACCTGATGGATAGCTTCATTTTTTTTCTCCTTTTTATTTAAAAAAAAATAGAAAGATGTAGTATTATGACAAAACTTTCCCTCCAAAACCAAACTGTGTTAGCACTGATTAGAGTATCTGATATGTAGGCAGACCAGGGAAAATACCAGGGCTTCCTCAGGGAGATGTTGATTCTGAGGGTAACCTGCAGCCACATGCAGAGGGCTGAATGCCTGGGGAGCTCTTCCAGGGGGGAAAGAACCCTCCTGGGCCTGGGGCCCTTGGATCTGAGTGCCTCCATGTGGCCAAGGCATTCTAGATGAGCCAAAGGGGTTCTAGATGAGCCGCCTGGGTCAACTCTGCCTTTTAATAAAGACCTGTGTTATGACAACTCCAGCTGTGTTCTGTGCCACAGTGGGCAGGGTGCTCACAGTGGGTCCTGGGACCGTGCAAGACCCCACAAGTCCACTGAACAGCATGCCATCAAAGCAGGTCCCATCTGCCCCTGCCTGAGGCCCACAGCCAAGCAACGGCAGCATCATCACCTTTACCAGCACAAAGCCCGAGTGCCCTTTCAGTTCATTCCACGCGTGGGCTTGCCTGCGCACATATCACACCTTAGCGTAGGCGTCCACGTTGGCACCGCCTGCTGCTGAGGGCTGTACCTTTTATCAAGTCTTATTTTGGGCTGGGTCAGCATGAGGAAACCGTGTATGCAACACCGGCCTTCAACCAAGTCACTCGATAATTAGTCACATCAACCCAAGTAGTGTGTGTGTTTTTCTTTATCCCGTTTCTTTCAAAAACAGCCTCCAGAGGAGTTTTTTTAGTCACTTATTTAAAATGTTAATGAAGGAACCCGTGAGTGCAAGGGCACAGAAAGCAGCTGACTCGAGTTACACCCAAGGGGAGAGATGCAAGCCACGCCTTGGCAGGAACCGTTCTTGTTGTCAGCTCTCGGCAGCTCCTGGCATGCCTGCTGCACTGGCATCCGCCCCACTGCAGCTGTCGTCCTCCATGTGACTTTGTTGTTTCAGACGGATGTGTCATGTTCAGGGTCCTCCCTGTCCTTCCCCAGACGGTGGCCCTCCAGGCATGTGCCGACAGAAAGGGGCTTCGGTAGAAGCCAAGGACCAGGCCCAAAGAAACAGGCCCCCTGGTGGCTTCCGAGGCAGATTGCCGACTGCCAGGTGCGGAATCTACACAGCTACCCACCGTGGGAGGTGGAGGGACCTGTGCAAATCCCCGGGGAGTATGTTAGAATTTCCCCAAATACTGTGAAAGGGAAAAAGTGCTTGTGCTGTAGCATGTGAAAGACCAGTGGTGTCTGAGAGCTGACACAGCACAGGGGGACTGACCACTGAGGGAACAGCGAGCTGTGTCAGGACGCAAGTGAGCAAGCCTGAGTCTCTGGGTGCATCTGGGGAGACACAGGGAGCACGTCAGGGCTGTGACTCAGTGTGCAAACCAGATGTGGCTCCCCAGGGTAAGGATGGACAGACAGCCTTCCCACATCATGTAGTGTGGACGGCGGGCTGGGGGCAGTGTAGTGTTCTTGCAGGAGGGCTACCAGGGGCGTGTCGGGCCCACTTCTTAAGGCTCATTCATTTTCTCTCTGGGATGCATTTCATCGTAATTGCTTGGTACCCAACAGCCTGAAAGCAGCAGGCTTTGCATCCTTTTCAGGCCTGGGGTCTGGCCCTACCCCAGAGGCTTCTCTTTCACTCACAGCAGCCTCTTCTCCACTCCAGAAACCTGGTCACCACTGACAGCAGGGAGAGAAGTGGGCAGAGGGGTCCAGCACAGCCCCTCTTCCTGCATCCATAAATCCTGTTTTCCAATCAACATCATGAACTTCCTCTCTCCTGCTCCCAGGAGGAGCCTCTTGTCTCAGGAGTGGCCATGCTGAGATGACAAAGCCACTGCAATTCTGATCTCCATAGTCCTGAGGTCCCCAGTACTGCCAGGAGTCTGGAGCTAGAGGAAGAAAGACGCCCACGACGTTTCCCACTGTGTTTTCCAAGTGCGGCCAAGGGACAGCCTTTGCACACCAAGGTAATTCCAGATGAGCGGCTTCATACCGTGCCCTCCTCCCTTCTGGTGAGTTTAGTGCTGGGCTGACTGTAGAACACTTTATTCACAGAAGCAAATAGAAAAAAATGGTCACTGTTTGTTCATGTGCTCCAACGTCAGACCGGAGCAGCCGGTTCTGGAGGGAAGAGTGAGGATTGGCCCATCTGTTCTCATCAGCCGCCTCCACGCACATGGAGGTGGATTTCATTGTTGTTGACACATACATTCCATCCACAAGAGGCAACTCAGAGGGAATGAAATGACTTCACACCCTCCCCAAAGCCATTTCCACTGCCAGAGTCCCAAATCTCTAATCACCAAGGAAGTCTCCCTCAAGGGGTGAGCTCCAGGCATCTCAGTTGTAATCAGCAGCATAGACATTGTCTGAGAAATATTTCTTCTGTCCAGTTAAAGTATAATTTACTCAAACACTAAAAAGTAGTAAAATAGACTTCAACTTTTCCTCTAACTACATTTATATATAAATCCCTGAGAAGGTACCTGTCAACTTGAAATTCACTATCAACAGTTAATAAACATCAGGGAGCCCTATCCCTGTGCGCAGCAGGGGCTGGGCTGACTCTCCCTTCCCAGCAAAGAGGAGGAGCTGTGTAGTAATTCAAAGACATCAGCACAGACACTGGCTGGCCGGCTGTTCATTCACTCTGGGATCAAGGAGGTCCCACGATGGTAACCCCACAGGGACACCACACTGCCTCACAGAGGTCCTGGCGTTTCTGTCCTTGGTAGACCTCAGGGTAGGTGGTGCCAGGGACGATCAAGAACTTAACCAACTGGGAGAAGAAAACAGGCAAAGGAAGGAAAAGTGAATAAGGAAGAAGAGATGAGGTGATGGGGGCAGGAGAATGTGGTGGCACAGCCAGAAGGGACCCTGTGGTGGCCACTGACAGGTGAGGAGAAGAGGTCAGTGCCCATCAATCCCCTCCTTCCTGAAGCACATGGTGGGTGCAGGGAGGACGAGCCCTCAGTGAGCGAATGCAGCTGTTCAAAGCACTGAAAATAGACACACAGGAAAAATGTTCTCCAAGGACACCAGGTTTTTGGAGTGGCCACTGGGAGGCCCCTGACTGCCAGATGCCGATGGTGCTGAGTGGAGAAGGGACAAGAAGCCTGTACCCTCCAGCCCCAATCACATCCTAAGACTGAGGGGCCCATGTTATCAGTACCTAGAACTAGAAGAAAGGGCTTCCAAATGGCTCAGAAAGACAAGGGGGCATTTCTCTCCACCTCTGGGACCAGATGACTACACCTCCCATGAGGAATCCCTTATCCAAAAGAGGTGAACATAATAATGTTGCTTAAGTATAAACTGGCCCATCAGATCACCCTGACACTGACCCCACAACACCCCCTTAAGGTGGCTCTGTTTCCCCATCATCTGGGCTTCCCTCCCTGGCCTCCTGCACTCCCTGAGCCTGACTGGGGGCCCGCTTGCCCCCTGTGATGCCCACTCCAAAGAGAATGAGGAAACAAGAGCAGAAGCCACCCCGCCCCCACAGGTGGAGGAAAGAGGCTTGGTGACATGTCCCTTAACTTGGAAAATTCCTCTCCTAGCAAATCTGCTTCTACATGGCAAAAAGGAGAAGTGCTGGGCCAGCAGCCATGAGCACAGCTGCAGCAGCTGCCTGGACTTGCCTCATGCGCCAGAGGGAAGGGCTGACCACAGACAGAGCACGGCTAGAACGAGTCTAGAGAGAGGGACCCAGGAGTCTCCAACTCAATCAGGAATGACCTTTCTTTCAGTTGGGTCTGGTGGGTTTTCAAAATCCAATCTTCCCACTGAGGCCACACCAAAGCTGCCTGGGAGGTAAGCCTTCCCAGTCCCACCAGAGCCCCCCATGAAGCTGTCATTTTCCCTCGAGTTGCAAACACTGGCCAGGTAATAGCAGCTTCCCCTCACCAGGCAAGTGGCCAGCTCACCTTCAGATTTGCCAAAAGAATCCATGTCCTGCCCCATGCTTGCTGGCTCGGGAGGGTTTTCAAAATGCAGGTATCTCTAGAACTGTTTTGTGGATGCCAAGAGCATGACTGGACAAGCCCTGTGCTGGCCCCAGGGTCTCCTGTGCACCTGGATGAGGCAGGAACACATCAGGGGCAGGGCCGCAGCATGTCCAGAACAGCATGGGACCTAGGGAAATCACCAGTCGAATGCTGTCCCTGGAGACTCTGAGCATGGGTTGTGGTGAGGTAGCAGCTGGGCAGGACCAGAAATGTCCATTTTTGATGTGGAAGCAGCAGACACCCAGGCTTAGGGTAGAAGTGGGGGCTCCATACCATTCCCAGTGCCAACTTCCCACAGTGGAAACAGGCAGGATGCCTGGCAACCCTGCAAGTGTCAGACGCCACATCAATCCACACAGAGGCTGCCTGACCCTGGCTGTTCCCACGACAATGAGACATTCTTGGGAAGGCGAAGCCCTTTGTGGGAGCTCAGGATGGGTGTCCTATCCCCTCACAATCACAGTGTTAGTGCTGCAGTTCTCCATGCAGGCTGAGCACAGTCACCTGCAGAGCTTCAGGACAGGCCCAGGGCTCAGCTCCCCAACCAATGCCTTGAGAACTTTCACAGCAGGGGTAGCTGGTGTTAAGAAACATGCCTGGGAGACCCTGTGGTCCTGCCTGGCGGGGTCCTCAGTTGACAGAGGTGAGGGTGAGGCTCGTGGTGACTTGGTAATGCTGTGAATTATGTACTTGTGGCAGGAGGGTGCCACAATGCCAGAGGATTCAGCAAAGACAGCCCCCAAAGATAACCGGTGTCAGTCACAGTCCCCGCCTGCTCGAAGGGGACATGGCCAATCCCAACTCCTTGGCCACGAGGGTGACCCACAGTCAACTAATATCTGCAGTTCTCAAAGAGGGTCTAGTCCCCTGTGCATTCATCACAGTGCCTTTTTGGATCATGCCAGAAATCTGATCTTAAACACTGTATCATCATCACACCAACCTCCCATTAGCCTGGGTGCAGCCTGCAGTCCTGTTCAGTGGAGCTTTTCAAGAGGCTAGTTTAAGATTCCTGGTTGCTGGATGCCTGATGGTGCCAGGAGGAAAGGATCCCCGAGAAGCCTGCACCAGCCCTGCCTGTGTCCTGAGACAGACACCCCGTATCATGACACACCTAGAGTTATTAGATGTCACAGTACAGAGCCTCCAAATAGGCCTGTGAGTGTGTGCATCCAAGTATTTAAATTAATACTGAAATAAAGTGCATATGTGACAGATACTCTACAACCCACATGGCGAGAGTCATTACAATTAGAAACTCCTGCCTGAGCTTCTAGCTTTCATACCCTGTCCTGCTGAATTAGAATGCTGCAAATCTGATAATGATTAAAAATACAAAATTATGCAGAAAACGCTCTTTGATAAATTCTAATTGGATCACTGAGAAAAGTGATCTCCTTGTCACTTTGGAGGTTAAAGTGTGGACATAAAACTCTCACCGCTTGCGGCCCAAGGCAAATCACACCCATGTACTGCCCTGCCCAAGGCTCCACGTCTTGGAAATTCTATGAGGTTAGCACGAGGATGAACTAAATACCAAGTGCAGTCCTCAAAGGAAAAATAAAAGAAATAACCACACAAGGGACTCTTCGGAACTGAGTCTGAAGGAGGGGCTCCCCATCCACTCCAGGAGAATTTGCCGAAAACAAGTTTACTTCCTATTCCGTTCTTATTGCCTGTTCTAAAAACCACCTCCGCCCCATTCCTGTAATTTGCATCGTTCTGGGCTCCTGACTCTGTTACAGCTTTCTTACATTTTAAGGATATCTGAATTCGATTTATGTAAGAGCACATATGGCTTAATTTTGTATTTCTGATAATCATTTACTAAATTTGCCCCCATTTTATCAAATGACAGTTTTTTCTCCTATTTTTAATAAGTTAAAGCTTTTTTTATCCAGTTTATCCAAAACCCCTTGCTTAAAATGAGTTTAATTCTAGCAATAAATACATGTTTATCTTTGAATTGTTTTATAATTTGACAATATATGCTTTTCCCCAATATATTACTGTATTAAGAGTTTTTAAAAGATACAATAACATCTGATCTCTCTGTCTCACTTGATCATGTGTCTGAATGAGTCAATGCCTCCATCAAACAGAAATATCTGGCATACTTCATCTCATTAAAAAGAACGTTCAGTGTGCACATGCACCCACGATGAGGAGAAAACACCAAAGCAAACAGCCAAAAAAGGAGAATCCCAGGATTTCTGTGTGAACTCATACAGATACCATAAATATTTATCTCTAGAAACAGTATTTTAAACAAAAGGTCTTCGGGCAAGTATATTAAAGCTACCTTGGATGCAAGGGGCCCTATCACTTGTAAAACGTTGCAAATTTGATAAATAATGATTAAAAATACAAAATTATGCAGAAAATGCCCTTTGATAAATTGATCTTTAAAAAAAAAATCTTAGTTGAGGTTCTCTAAAAGGAGACTTCTAGGCAACATGCCCGCTAGGTGTACTGATTGCCGTGTGTGGCGGGGGTGGAGCTGGTGACAGGCGAATCGATGTGGCTCCCCCAGCCGCCTCCTGGGAGCAGCCTGGAAACGTGCGCAGCCCCGTGGTACTGGGAGCAGCAGTGGCACGACGCGCAGCGGAGCCGCCTCCTCCTCCGCACCCAGACCCGCTGCCTCGCCCTGGCCCTGGACCCCGCGCGGGGCACACAGGCCCTCACGTCCTCTTCTTCCAGGGCGGCGGGCGCTTCTCCTTCTGCACATCGGCCTGGCGCTTCTTCTCGGCCTCCTCCGCCTTGCGCTTCTCCTCCTTGGCCTCCTTGTACCGCCACTTGGGGATCTGCAGGTGGCCGCTGTCCTTGGTGCTGCCCTTCCGCGCAGACCGCTGGAGCTGGAAGGTGGGCGCGGGCGCCTTGAAGACGCGGACCCGGGGCACCACCACGCCGCAGGCGCTGAAAGGGCAGGAGGCTGGACTTCCGCGGGGGCGGGCGCAGCTGGGCCCCGGGACCCCGGCTGCGGGGAGGACGGGAGGCTGGCTCTCGGGGAGCCCTCCTGGGAGCCTGAGTCTGCGGGACCGGTCTGCCGGCTCTGCCCCGCGCCCCCCGCCGCCTCTGCCTCATGCTCCCGGAGCCCCCGCCCCGCCAGGATCTCCTGCACTACCAGCCGCCGCTTCCCCACGCACGGGGGAGGCGGGGGGGAGGGGTTCTCGGGACACACGGTCCGGCACACGATAGCCACGGCGGGGCTGTAGAGGCTGGTGGTCATCCTGACCATGTGGTCCAGGGCGCCCCTGTCCTCCCGGCCCGCACGGAGCGCGGCGTGAGCGCGGACAGCACGCAGTCTGTGAGCCTCTGCAGGCAGTTGTTGGAGCCCGCGGGCTTCCTCTCAGTCTCGCCGGGCGGCGGCAGCTCCGGCCGGTACTTTTCCCCAAAATGCTCTGGGCAGGGGCGCTCCAGCAACCTCTGCATGAGGCGAACGGCATCCACGCGGCCGGTGTAAGTGGCCCATTCTTGCGGCGACATCCCACGGCGGGGGTCCCTCGCGTGGACATCCGCCCCTGCCAGCATCAAGGCTGGGATGCAGGCGGTTCGACCCTGCACGGCGGCTTTCATCAGGGCGGTGAACCCGAACGCGTTCCTCCTTTCAAGGTCAAGACCGGGGAAATAGTTCAACAAGTAGTTGGTGATGATCGCCTGCCCCGGCTGTTGCGGTCTGTCTCCTGCACCTCCTAGACGCTCACCCGGCGCCGCACCAGTGCCCGCAGCAGCCGCACGTCGTTGGCGCAGGCGGCGCGCAGGAGGCTCGCCGCCTCTGGGACGCCCTCCGGGACGCTCTCCGCGTTCTCGACGCCTTGCTCCTCCTCGTCCTCGAAAGGGTAGAAGGAGTCGTCCGAGGCGATGCTGCGAGTGTCGGGCAGACTCGAGAAGTCCTCGAACTCTTCGTAGTCAGCGGGGTCCTCCTCGATCTGCGCGCCCCGGGGTGGGGACGGCGGTGGCGGGGTCATGCAGCGCGCCCCGCCGCCCTCCGGCCGGGTCCCGGCCAGCAGCACGCCGAGGTCCCCACTTCTCGCTGCTGCGTCCCCAGAGAAGCCGTGGCCCGCGCGCTCCAGCCCGGCGGAAACCCTGTTCTTAATCCTTACATGATATTGTAACTTGTGTACATCCATATGTGGATGTACAATACTTAATGATCTGTCCACTGGAAATAACTGGGAGTGAAGGAGTTTTTGTTGCTTGTATAGTGTCAGATGAAGAACAACACTATCTTAATTTTGCAATACACTGCATTTGCTGGTGCTATTTTTATACAGTGAAGCAACAGCTTTGCAGCAAAATAATAAAATATTTATTTGTTTTTTTTTTAAAAAAAAAAGAAAGAAAATAAGCACATATCAATAGGAAATCCCAAGATAAGCTATTGAGGGTATCTGTTAGAACACAGGATTAGTCAGAGCAAGTTAAATTTTTTTTTTTCTGAGATGGAATCTCACTCTGTTGCCCAGGCTGGAGTGCAGTGGCATGATCTCGGCTAACTGCAATCTCCGTCTCCTGGGTTCAAGCGATTCTGTCGCAACCTCTCTAATAGCTGGGATTACAGGTGCATGCCACCACCCCAGCTAGTTTTTGTATTTTCAGTAGAGACATGGTTTCACCATCTAGGCCAGTCTGGTCTCAAACTCCTGACCTCAAGAGATCCACCCTCCTCGGCCTCCCAAAGTGCTGGGTCTAGAAATTTTTTAACATCCATAAATTCCTGAGAGATTTTATATTTAGAGAAAAAGCTAGCATAGAGAATGCAAATATCTTTGTCTTTATAAATAAAATATCTGTATGGTAAAGATTGCTGTGATTAAATATCCATGTCTAGAATCATTCTGTTATCTAAAGGTTTTCCTAACACTTATGAAGGGTTGACAATTCGGAAGTATCTCAATGTTTCTGATGAGGTAATGATGATGCTTGTCACTATGCGTTTTGGTGCTGAATAGGACCAAATGAGACTCAGGCAAAGAATCAGTGCTTTTAAAAATGGTTTTGTTGGATTCCCATATAATTGATCAGGTGTTGAGTGAGAAGGCACCACTTGGATCTCTTGAGAACATGAGATAAACATTCATCCGGAACATTAGGTTTAGGGGTGGTGACCGTCTCTGCAGTGCACACCGATCTGATGCCAGAAAAAACAACAAGATTCTTTTGTGCTGTGGTGATCAGCATCTCCATTGAAGGCTCCATCCATTCGAAAGATAAAAATGTGCAAATCATAGAAGTTTAAGCAGGAAAAAAATGAATTTAAACCCCAAGGCCCTAGAATTATGAGGATAATGGCTTTCATTATGGTTATTCTACATTAATCTCCCTCCAGCACTGTGAGTAACAGCGTTTTCCTCTAGGGTCAGCAAGGCTGGGGTTTCCATGGGGACTTGATTGCTCTGTCTGTATGGAAACTCAGCTCCATCAGAGGAGGACAATGTTTTTGGCTTTGACAGGATGAGCAGTAACACACAAGGAGATGTAGGCTTTTCAAAGAAGAGAAGACTGTAGGATCCCAGTTATGGTTTTCTCAATTGCCCTGAGTGCTGTTGAATGTGGAGGTGTGTGGCTTCAACCTTTGTGTAGCATTTTGACAGCAAGCTAAGCAACTGTTAGTTCTTAACGTGTTTTCATTATGTGGAAGAGCAAGGATAAGCTGGGACTCACCATGCTAGAGGGAGAGCGAGAGAACAAGCTTGTGGAAGTGCAGTGATGGGGCCTCCAGGAGCCTGGGTCAGACAGCTGTGTTCAAATCCTGGCCCTATGGCCTTGAGTAAGGGCCATAACTTCTTTGTGCCTCGATCTCCTTATCTGGGAAAACCGTGGTGCCTCTGAAAGCACGAGGTCTGCTCTCAAAGAACCCAAACTGCTCTCATCAGCAAGTACAACAACAGACACTGACCTAGCATGCTTTACACACTGTGTACCACACAGACGGGCGAGAAGATGGAGAACAGGAGGTTCAGGAGAGGAAAATAGGAGACAAGACTTGGCACAACAAATGTAGGAAAAAGATGAAAATTGAGAGATCAGTTCTTAGTCTTGGTTCTGTCCTGGGCAAATCACTTCATCTTGCTGGGCAAGAGCATCTAGAAGATAAATGCATCTCTAGACCCAGAACTGTGCCTCTCAGCCTTGGTTGTGCATATGACTCAGAGGGTGATCTAATTAAAATAGAGATTCTAGTTTTGGGTCTGGATGGGGCCTGAGATTCTGCATATCTAACAAGCTCTCTGGTGAGGGTGACGCTGCTGCTCACGGACACACTCTGAATGGAATTTAGATCAGAGGTTGGTGAACTTTTCTCTGTAAAGGGCTGGATAGTAAATATTTCAGCCTTTGCAAGCCACGCAGTCTTTGTCACAAAGACTGTGCCACAACCCTGCTGTTGTGGCACAAAAGTAGCCATAGATAATATGTAAATGAGTTTGTAAAATAACACATGTCATTTACAAAATAGCACACATACATGGAGCCAGATTTGGCCCATGGGTTATAGATCATCCACCACTGTTATAGGTGATATCTAATATTCCTTCCAGATTTGCTCTTCCTTAATTCATATTCAACAAGTCCTTAACTGAGCACCTACTTCATATCGCAGCCTGTATGTTATGTGCTTTTTCACACAGGACTCTGCTACCCTACAGAATCACCTATAAAACTCTACCCCACACCCATTTTACTAATGAGGGGACTTGTTCAAGATCTCAAAGCATGGAAGGGATCACTGTTGTGATTAGAACCCAGGTTTCCTGATTCCAGACCTGGTGCTTCTTTGCTCTTTTCAACAAATCAAATGAAGATTGTTTTTTAAACACACACACACACACACACACACACTCTCTCTCTCTCTCTCTCTCTCTCTCTCTCTCTCTCTCTCTCTCTCTCTCTCTCTCTCTGGTGGAGTTCTGCCAAAGAAAGAGGATAAGCAATTGTTCACCAGCTTCTTGTGTTAGGCAAGATTATCCCTTTTAGCCACGTGTCCAAGGTAGGATTTTAACAATCCAAGAATTTTAAAGGAATAGTAGGTATAAAACAGATAGAAACTATCCTAGGCCAAAGCAGGTCATTTCACAAGCACAAGAAAATGTGGCCCCATGATTACCTTCTTCTCTTTACATCCCAGTTCCCATCTGAACTTTGTCAAGCTCAATCTCCAAATGCCACAGGAGTCACAATGTAAAGGAGGCAGCAACCTCATGACTGAGTGAAGGGAAGGCTTGAGCAACTGGGAGGGCTGGAGGGATGCAGGTCCCTAACTGTTGCCCCTTGCTCAAATGCCACCTCTTTGTTTCTGTGAGGAGAAGAAGGTGCAGAGAGTGCTGGGCAGAGAGTCAGAAGAGGGCCTGGCTTTGAGGTGCACGATGCAATCACCCAACATCTCAGATGTTGCACACCAGTAGCCCTCAGGTGGAAACTGACTCGCACACGGGTGGATTTTCTTTGAGCTGCTTGCGGAGTGTTTTAAATCATTTCAACTAGATGTCAAATATAATCTTCCTGTCTTTCTTTTTATAGCTCTCCCAGGTGATGGATCCAGCAACAACAAGTGACACTTTGCACAGGACGACCGTAGGCCCCAGCAGAGTACCAGCAGCCCTGACGTGTGGTTAAAAATTCTGTGCCTCACTCAGGTACAGCTCCCACCTGGTCCCAGGGGCATTTGAGTTTGCAACTTCTGCTCGACTGGCCTGTTTCCTCATCTGTAGAGTGTGGTGAGTATCCACCCCAACTACCTCATTAATTCAGTCAGCAAACAGGTGTCCACTGCCTGGCTCAGTGCTGCTTCACAGAGGGGTGGGGAGGAATAAGAGAGGGGCTGGCAGTCCTCACCTCGTGGGATGGACTGCCCCATGGTGTCAGTCTGGTGAACCAGTCAGGCATTCTGGCTGCCACAAGAGACCCATGCATGGAGTGTAGTATAGACACAGATCAGGAGGAGAAGATCTACAGAGAGCAGAAGTGCCCAGAAGAGAGACAGAGACGCTTTCCTGGTTACGGAACCGCAGCGGGATCAGAGTGGGAAGAGAGGAGGCAGGGAGTGCTCAGTCAAGGGATCATTGGGTCACAGAGTCAGAGGCCAGGATAGCAGCCCGATATATTAGGGAAAGCACAAACAGTCCTGTGGCTAGTTGCAGGGTGTGAGTGAGACTACGGAGTGGAGGCAGAGAATGCAGGAGGCCGATGGGCAGCCCAGCGGGGCTGAGAATGGGAGGCCTTGAATGTCCAGGTCCCAAGCATGACCTAGTCCCAAGGGCCATAGGGAGTTCTTGAAGGGTTTCCTACCTGGGAGTGCCGGGTTCAGGCTTTAGGAAGATCTCTGTGTCACAGTGGAGGGTAGATAGATGAGGAGGAAAGACAGGGCAGGAAGACCAGTTAAGGGACAACTGGATAAATGCAGGCGAGGAGTAAAGGAAGATAAGACTGTGACAATGATGGAAATTCAGGAACAGGACTAGGATGAGACAAATGAGGAACACAGGATGCAAAATTTAAGGAGGTGCTGGCTCTCAGAGACACGCAAGTGCAGGGGTGGGCACCTGAGAGTGAGCACCCCCTTAAACGTTGCTTTTAGGGGTTTCTTGCTTGCCTCATCCCAGGGCTGGCCCTGGATTAGTGGTGCAGAAGAACTACGTAACTGCTGAAGCCCTATTTGCCAAAGGTAAGGACCTTCTGGGGTGTCCTACTCAACGTGACAGACTTGCTTCTTTCACTCAAGTTCTTAAGAACTTGGGTTCAAATCCTGACTCTCAAACTCAGGGTCTCTCAGAGTTTTTTTTTCTCAGTTGCCCACATATGTAAAATGGACCCAGAGTTTTCGAGCATCAGGGGTGCTCCAAGTTCAGAGGATGTGGAAACTCAGGGCCGCGGCCACAGCAGACAGCCCCTGGTGACCTCTGTCTTTGCCACCATTCATTTGTTTTGAAAGACCTCAAGGCCAATAGCCCCTCTTTCCTGATCCACTAAGCTATGATTGCAGAACCTACAGCTCTTCTATTCATTTTCTTCCCCAAGGGTTTGCCTCAGCTGTCTTATTAAATATAGAAAACATCTGTGCTTGGGTTTCTTTTTTTTAAGCAAAAATCCCCACATCTGGAAAATATTGGTCAAGAGTCTAATTAAGTATGTCAATGACAAATTGTTCTCACAGGAAGTATTTAGGGCTAGTGAATAATTG